CCCAATTTTAGAATCTGTCGAACAGTGTGTTTTAATGTCAGTAGGTCCTTTATTTGGTTCCCTTTCTCCTTTAAGGAAAGCTGGCATGAGACACAGCTTGTGAAAATAAATATCCTTCAGTGCCTAGTCAATGTGATCCCTAGGAGCTTATTTGCAATTAAAATTTGTGTGTGTGTGTGTGTGTGTGTGTGTGTGTGTGTGATGGCAGTAATGAGTGCAGGTACGCATTAGAAAAGTTATTTGAACAAAATGCAGAAAGGTACTGGTTATCATGCAAAGTTGGTATCTCTGAAAAGCCATTGCAAAAATGGGCATTCAGAAAAAAGTTAATAAAGGATGAAGGGTGATAATGAAAAGTTTTTTGAGGACTTTCTCTCTATTCTACCCCATACATAATAGCACATTGTCAACTGACAAAGCTAATAAATGGTAAATTTCCTACCAATTAAAAGTGAGAACTGCTATTCCCCAGTTAAATCTGAAGGTTGTAGGGTTGAGCATTGTGACTAGATTTCTAAAAACGGATGAATAATAATATGACCGATAATTTTTGTTATGCAAACTAAGGTGAATAAGACCTCCTGCCACAATGTCTACATTTCATTGTCTGGAAGGGTTCCAGAGAGATTTTTTTTTTCAACGGAGGGCAATGTTTTGTAATTGACCTTGTGGGCTTGGGAGGAGGGGGGGAGTTTGGGGGAAAAGAGGAGGGAGAGGGAGAATATTGTTTTGGTCAGCATTCAGACTCAAATCCTCATATTGTATGCTAAGGCGTGAGTATTCAAAACACCTAATGAATGCTGTCATTCATCCGTACTATTAAGTATTTAACAAATATTGATCCTATTGGTGAAAAAAGAGGGTCAACACCTCGGGCAATATCAATTATTATAAAACAAGAGAGAATTTACTAATAGTTACAGTAGTTACTATTTGTGAAATTTATATATTAAGGAAATAACCTTGTTTCAAGTGGTACCATTTTGACTTTGAATTGGGTCATTTCAGTATAGTGGTATATTGAGTGATCTTTTGTGAAACGAACTCCCCTAAGAAAATATTTCTCACGTCTTTGTTTTGTTTTTAAATACCAGTATGTTAGGGAAAGGTGGTATGTTATAGACCATTTGTTGAACTATATAGATAATGTTTACACAGCATTTCCAAGTTTACATAAAGTTTCCTTATGTCACCGTTTCAGTACATCATTTAGTCCAATCTACGTGTTTTACAGAGCTTGAGAAAACAAAGGCCCACATAGGTTGTGACTGGTCTAAGTTCATATGGCTAGTTATTAGCAGTGCCAGGACTAGATCTCCTGACTTTTGACCCCAAGGATTTTTCATCTGTCTTTTCTTTTTGTATCTAGATTCTGTTCTATCCCTATTCCTATTTGTATCTGTCTTTTCTTTTTGTATAGTAAGCACTTAATAAAAAGCTTTTTCATTCATTCATTCATCTTCACGTCCTTGCCTTCTCTAATGATGTCAAACTGAGTTGCCTGGTTTTGCAGTTGTGTGACAGAAATTACTTACACCAGTTTCAAACCTTTACCTCATCCAGTTTGAGGATAAACTGGAATGAGTCTTGGGAAATTGTAAAGTCTTTAAAGTTTGTCTCTTCCCCATCCTCTTTCTTTATACAGTAGCTTCCCCTTCTCTCCCCCTCCCCTTTCCCATTCCCTTCTCTCTATTACTAGTACTCATTGTATTCCTGTAGCTGGGCAGCCTGGTGTAATGGCAGATTAGTGGTCCAGCAGTCCTGGCTGTGTTTCTGAACTGGCTATGTGACTTTGGGTGAGTCAGGTCAGCTAACTTCTATGGATCCATGACCTCATTGAAGTGGGTAATCTTCATAAGGTACAGATCTGTAACCCATCCACCCATTGTCATTCCCCCTGCCCATAAATCTCACCTTTCATAAAACACATGGGAGCCACTCAACATGCTGGGGGGCTTTCTCTAGAGCAGGCAGTTACTAACTTTTGAGGAGGGTCATGGACCACCCTCTCATGCATTTTTGAATGCATAAAATAAAATGCATAAGATTTCAAATGAAACCAAATTACATTAAAATATAATTATCAGAGTGGTTTTTTTTTGAAAGTTCACAAACTCCAGGTTAAGAAACCTTGTTCAAACTCTTAGAACATGGTGTGAATACCAGTATATTTCACCTATTATTCTACTGTTATCTGTTACTTTTTCTAAGTGCCTGGACCAGCTAGCTTCCTTTCTAGTCAAACATTTTGATCTATCAATAAACATTTATTAAGCATTTACTGTGTAACTATATTACTATGCACTGTACTAAGTGTTGAAGATACAGAGAAAGGCAAAAGCAGGCCCTGTCCTCAAGGAGCTTACATTTCTTATATGTATACTAATTTTTACATGCATACCATTCTTTAGCAGTATTCAGCATCCTGCTTACATAACCCTTATATATCTTCTCAATGCTGTCTGGGTCACTTGTGGTTTTGATTTTTCAGAGATTGTGGTGCTTTATATACGTTATCTCATTTGGCCCTCACAATATCCCATAGATCCTATTAATATCCTATTTTACAGTTGAGGAAATAGGCTCAGAGAGATTAAGTAATTTGTTCCTACCTGAAGTAATGAACCTTAAAGTCTTCTCCTAACTATGGCCCCTGTTCCTTAGAGAAATCCAAATCAAGGGACAGGGGATTTAGTCCTGGGTGCTGCATCTTTATTTTATAGGTCTGTTTTAAGGAGTGGGGTCAAAGATTGCCATTTTCCCCTAGACTCATCCCTCTCTCTTGTCTCCCTTAACACCTCTAACTTGAATCTCATCTCTGTCTTCCTAAATTGTGTAGACTGTCCCAAAAGACTTAGTACGATTTGAAGCTGTTCAGTCTCTTTAAGCTATTCAGCAATTAAAGCTTAAAACTGCCCCTAAGACCTTTGGGATGCCTCATATCTTGAGTTTGGTGTTTTAGTTAGTATTTAGTGAAATTTTTGGTGTTGCTGTACCTTCCCACTCCCTTCCTTTATTATGTGGCATCATGGAATATAACCCTCTCATTTTATCTGTTTCTGGTGATAAATTATCAGCAGAATTCATCCTCCTTCATTAATAGAGATATTGAATTGTGTTGTGAATTCTCCTGGGGATTTGTTACCTTTCTCACTATTTGCTTTGGGGGTAGTGGGAGAAGAATAAGGATCAGAGCCGCTGGGCATATATTAATTAGAATGTCAGGGGTCATGGATGTTTTGTTCCTTGCCATGTTGAATGCATTTAATTATTTTAGTGACTTCCACTCCACATGTGAAAAAAAAGAACTCGGTGATTAGGCTTTAAGCTGGTCAGTATTAGACAGGCCCAGTCATTTGGCAAGATGGTGGTCCATCTTGTGTCATGTTGTATATTGGTTCAGGTGGACTGCCTAGCCCTTAAAATACCTAACTTCCTGGTAATGAACTATGGGTCCATTTCTGTTGGCCCATTCACTTCGAGTTGTATGCATCCCTACTTTCCCCTTTCCTACCTCTTACACTTTGTCCTTTGACTGGGATTTCCCAGCTTTGAGCCAGGATCATGTGAGGGGTAAGTAAATGTAAAGTGCTTTCTTTTTTTTTCAAATAAGTTTTATCAGTGCCGTTTGTTTTGACATCACACTTCATTTCCAGATATGACCCTGCCAAGCCATATCTCTCTATCTGTCTGTCTATCTATGTATATATATAGATAAAGATATAGATATATACACATACATCCTTATTTGTAAAAATAAATAAATAAATAAATAAGACAGTTAAGCAAAACTGAGTATCTCAGTGACTATGCCTAAGAACACAAACAGCATTTTGTAAGTATTATGATAGCCAGTATTTCCATAAGCACTTACTCTGTGCCAAGCACTGTGTTAAGCACTGTACAATTATTATCTCATATGATTCTCCACAATGACCCTAGGAGGTAAGTTCTATTATTATCCCCATTTTACAGTTAACAAAACTAGGGTGGTGCACAAGACAGCTCACCGGGTCTGGAGTCCAGAAGACCTGAATTCAAATATGACTCAGACACTTACTAGCTTTGCGTTCCTGGGCAAGTCATTTAACTAATGCTGCCTGCCTCAGCCTGCTCATCTCTAAAATGGGGCTCATAATAGCATCTGTTTCCCAGAAATCCCAGTCAAAAGACAAAGTGTAAGAGGGAGAAAAGGGGAAGGTAGGGATGCATACAACTAGAAGTGAATGGGCCAGCAGAAATGGACCCATAGCTCATTACCAGGAGGTTAAGCTTTATTTTAAGAACTAGGCTGTCCACCTGAACCGATATGGAACGTGATACAAGAATGACGATGCCACCAAATGACTGGCTATTTGTAAAGTGCTTTGTAAACCTTAAAGCTCTCTATAAAATTTAACTATCATTATCATATTATCATTATTATCATTATTATTATTATTATGACTTGTAATAGTTCCTGTTTCTCTACTGATAGACAGGAGATAAATTTTCTTATCCCTCCCCAAAGCTAAGATTGACCCTTATACTTAATATTCATTTTTTTGTTAGAAAAGTACCAAAAAAGGTTTTTCTTTTATTCCTTTGAAAGACATTCAGATATGCAACACTCTTGTTCTATGCTTTGCATATTGAAATGTCCATATTTGTGGAACTTTGCAAACCATAAAGCACTCTATAAATACTAGACATTATTATTTGTCAAGTTCATCATAATTGGGGGGGGCTAGGCAATGGGGTTAAGTGACTTGCCCAGGGTCACACGGCTAGTGAGTGTTACATGTCTGCGGCCACATTTGAACTCGGGTCCTCCTGAATCCAGGGCAGGTGCTCTCTCCACTGCGCCACCTAGCTGTGCCCCATCATAATTTTTTTTAAAAAGACCTAGAGTGAACTCGTGTATGAGATAAGTACAGGGAAATCCCAGAACAGTGAAAGTGAGTCATTGGCTCTTGGAGCGGTTCGACAGGACAAGCTGACGTGATCCTTTTCTTTTTCAGGACCTGCAGATCGAACGAGAGAGGAGCACATATAATATATCTGGAGGCTGTACAGCCCTCGTTGTTGTCTGCCTGTTGGGAAAGCTGTACGTGGCCAATGCTGGTGATAGCAGGTAAGCATATTATTTCATTCTTACTTAATCCTCGTGACTATTCATAATTTTAATACTTAAAAAAAATACCTCACTGCTTAGTCATTTTCTTATCTCTGCAATGAAGATATTGATTTATAACCTCTAAGTTTCCTCCTAGCTCTATCAACCTATGAATAAATCTCCTCAAGGGCAGAGTTTATCTTTTTGCATTTCTTTGTATCCCTAGCACTTAGCATGGTGCCTGGCACATAGCAGGCACTTAATAAATATTAATTGGCTGTGTTGATATACTTATTCTTCATATTATTCTGTGTGTGTGTGTGTGTGTGTGTATGTGTTTGTATGTGTGTGTGTTCTGTCTTCTGATGGTGTATAAGCTCTTTGAGAGCAGGAATTTTTCTATATTTGTCTTTACAGGTGCTTAATAAATGCTTTTTGATTGTTGATGGACTAGGACAGGCTTTGCAGTCAGCTTTTCTCTCATCCACACTCTCAGTTTGTTATGCCTGAGATAGAACCAACTGAAACAATAGTCTTCACATGTGCAGGGCTCTTGGTCACAGGCTAAGTATGGCGGGAGGCATCTGCCAGACAGAAGCTTCTCCAGATGTTTTTTTAATGCTATATGGGAGGAAACCTTGCTGCCCTCATTGAGAACAAAAGACCACATCTGTGAGCTGCCTAGACCATCCCCCTACTTTTCTGTCTATGTCCTTGCTAGTTTTTCTCAACCCCAATCTATAGCAGAATATATCTGCTGCTGGGGCACCTGGGTTGAGCAGTGGGTAGAGCACCAGGCCTGGAGTCAGAAAGACCTGCGTTTAAATCT